CACCGGTTTCTTCTCTACATGTTGACCGAAGCAAAACACTCAATCGCAAAGGTGAGTCAGCGGAGCCGCTGCACCAGAGAACTCTGCCGCCGGTGAGTTTCAATTTTTTGATTTTTCTCGGCCAACTGAGACCCTTTAACGTATTTTCTCGAAGGGATTAATACAAAACCGGCCGAATTTGACCAAATTTGGTCAAAAATGGCCGAAAACAACCGACCGAGGCAAACTGCCGCAGTGGACAGCGGTATCGTTGCCGGAGCACGGCAGTGCCGCCGTGTCGGAATTCTGGAATTTGCCAAAAAAAGGTCTTAACAGTAATTTTTGATTTTTTGAGATATTTCTAGGTACTTCAAACGTGTTTTAATCCCAGTAGGCGCAGTCAAAAAGTTTAGCATTTCAGGCATCAATTTGAGTAAGAATCCCTCACCTTATTCTCTATTATGGAATTGAAGTTTAATTAATATTAATAATAATACGATATTTTGTGCAATTTAGAAAATATTTATAATTAATTACAAGTTACTAATTGAGACAGAACCGGAAGTTATACACTGTTGATTTAGGTTACAGTTTGAATGTATGATAATACCTGATTGATTGATCTTATAGTTTGAATGCATGTATTGTTTGCTTTATGTGATTATAGTTGAATTGAAAAACTGAAAACTAAAGGAAATCAAGAAATTGTTTGATTAAGTGAATGGATAAAACAACAGCCTTACTGGATACCTGAAAAATGATGGACGAACCGGGTACATAGGAAACCCTACTGTGAACGTTGCCTCATACCGGATAGGGTATCGAGATTTGGTAATTTATCGCTCATATCGGATGGGGTATCAAAGTTTAGTAATTTGGCGCTCATACCGGACAGGGTATGGGAAGGGCCCGTTAATTGAAAATGTTAAAGGAAATAGTTCACACATTGTGGGGACATCCTTATGGACCTTTATAGAAACTAGTAGGCTGATAAAAGAAAACATTATTGTTCCAACTGATTACATATGAAATTATGATATGTGCTATGTTATTGCCTCTATAGGTTATTTTTTTGTAAATCTCACTACGGTAAGTAAACAGTAAATGATTTTATTTATGAAAAATGATTTTGCTTAATTAAGAGCTCTATTAGTTGTTTTTATAATTTTTACCAACCTTCATTTCTATGTCGGTGAGTAGCGTGATATTCTTACTGAACTAGTATAATTCATTCTTTCATTAACCATTTCAGATTAAGATGATCAGGATCCAGAGCCTGATCCACAAGAGGATTGCGAGTAGAACGTTCAGTTGTTTATCTTTAATTTATTTCCTTAGTTATCAGTTGTTCTTTTAGAAGGGTTATTCTCATAAGTCTTATTTGGTACTTTCAGTTATTGTGTAAAGAATGTAAACCCTAACTATTTATTTCACTTCCGAACTAAATTTATAATTTATTTCAGTTGGAATTTTCAAAGTCGTTACAGTTGGTATTAGAGCCGTGTTTCTTGGAACCATTCCTTACACAAAATTCTTAGGAAACATAAAAAAATAATGAATTATCATTCAACCATTTATTGTGAAATATAGGTACAGATAAATGACAAAAGAAAGACCCCACTAAATTGAGCAACCCGGAAGGGTTCGTTTTCGAGAAGATGTTGACTAGTTATTTGAGATGTTAGAGAGACTGATTGCTGCTCAGCAGGTCCGTGAGAAAAGGAGGGAGCTACCTGACCCTCCCCTGTTGCCACAGGTTGAGCCACCCCTGCAGTGAGAGGATCCCGAGACACCCTGGTACGACCCTGCTCCTTCACAGTACCACCAAGCACCACCACAGTATGATCCGGTGCCCCAGCCACAGTACCACCCGGCACA